AGCTACGTATTTTAAATTCTACATTGAATACGAATTTCTATAGAACAGATTTTTGTGTTTAGTTTGTTGTCCTTAGCCCCGCACCACCGATTAGCACGGTTGGCTACGTACGGTGCGAAAGAATTTCAACATGCACACGTAACTTTAGAATGACGGTCAAGACACAAGTAACAAAGTTGCCTTACCTCGCTCATTATGCCACAGGACCTATGGCAATTTCCACTAAATAACAGACTTTAGTATATTCCTGTAGAGTACGGGGCGGCTGTAGGAATTGGACTGTCAACTCCGGTCATCCTCGCAATGGCTTTTGCCGAGCCATTGAACAAAGGGGCTCGCAGACATTATAGAGGTCGAAACAATGCAAATGCGGACGTGCGTCATTGTTTTGTGAGATCATTTGGGTTTATTTACTCTATATCTTTGATATTTTATATCTTGCTTCTTAACTCTTGCTGCCGTGTCTGTCTGCTGGCCGAGTCACCCTTGAAAAAGTGCCGTACAGCTCAATGGGCAATTTACTCGGATAATAAACTTCTGATTCTGAAACTGCATCGCAGGCTTTCAAAAGCGTTTCTGCGGCACTTTTGGAACGCCATTCCTTCCGATATTATTAAGCCACTTGAGCCGTGCACTTTTGAATCTAGATTGCAAACTTATTTCTTGAGAATTGCTTTTTGTGTGTAGTTTGTTACCCTTCTGCCCGCACTTACGATTCATATTGTTGGCTCCGTACGGTGCAAAAGAAGTTCAACGTACATGCATGTGAACAGTGAGGGGCATGCTAACCATTCGGCGTGTGGTTCTCAAATCAGGGTCAATGGCGACTTCCAGGTGGGAGAGATATGGATTAATGGAGAGCGACCAGCACTTTTCTCACTCCCCAGAGAAACTCTGACACCCACCGCTGGCCGGTCAGAGGGGTCTCTTGGAATTCAGGGGAGCAATTATGGGGGGGTATGTTGGCAGCGCTATGCGATGCGTAGGGGCCCAGTCAGCCACAAGGGGGGCCCCGAAACAACAGATAAACGAGTACAAAAATGTTAAGAAAAATAATTCAAATACAAACATTCATTCAAAAAGGTACCTGCAGTCTACCATGGACCAAGCCTGATTAATGCATCTGGCTATCGTATGCACAGAGCAGCATGAAGTTGCATGATCCACCCCCTTTGAGGAAATCCGAGATCGATGGGCCTGCATGAAAATTGTGGGTTTTATACCTTTAAATACTTTTTATTAATACTGTTACTATTAGACAGTCTTCCTCTAAACCCAATACACAGTGCAACTTATATTATATATAGTTATAGCCTACATATTATTGTATACGGGTTAAAAACAACCCGTAGCAATTTCAGGCAAAGTGAGTCGGGGAAAAAGGAAGGGGGCCCCCAGTCGTATCTTGCATACCCCCGTTGAAATGGATCGTTGCACCCCTGCTGGAAGTCAACACAGCCAATTTAGCACCAGCGGCTGCACAAAAAACAAGACTGTGGTGCGCACCAGTGTTCCGCTAACTCTGGAGGGTTGGCGGATCATCGACATTCGTGGAAATTCCCAAACGCGCTGGACGGCAGTGCAGCAAGTGGTTTGAGGACCAAGTGTTTGCGGCGCTTTCATTGTTGTAACAATTTTTTTCATGGTTTTGCCTTAAAACGCAAAACACTTGTTATTGCAATGGGCACAAATGCCCCAATGCAAGACCCTCCCGAGAAGATCACCGAGACTCAGTGATAATTAATCCGAGGAGGGAGAGAAGCACACACAGCGGCCCTCTTGTGGGGTGTCCTGAACGCCCGCAGGTTGAGTGCCCCTGCACTGTCCCTGACCGAATTGAGCCTTGATTCGCTGGGCAAAAGAGCAGCCCGTGTTTGCACGGCCCGTTATAATCAACACCGAAGAATGTTCACCGCCTCGCTGTTAAGAGGTGGGCTGATGGGACAGAAAGTGTGCCAGCGACATCGTTTCTCTTAAACGTCGTGCGGTACGGTGATTGCGTAATGGCTGGGTGTGATTAATGAGTCCTTTGAAAAAAAATCCCAAACCCCTGCCACGTCTTTTCGTCCCCTCATCTTTCGCCGTCAACTCCTTTTTCCATCTCTCCTTCGAGTGCCCCCCGTTCGCAATTAATCATTTAATATGCTTCCCTATTCGTTTGCCTTCATCACCTTTGAATAAATACACAAATGAATGAACAAGCGTCACACTCTATATAGCAAGGTGTAAGTGCTAGGAGACAAAGTATGGCCCTGGAATTGAGAATCGAGTAGAGTGCAGGTTTCCACGGTGGCGAGACGTTAACAACCTCGCCTGGTATACAGGAGGTTATGGGTTCGATCCCGACCCTGATGCCTGCTGTATATTTGGTCCTCCAGTTTTTCTCTCCACATTTAGAAACGCATTTAGAGTATTTGGCTGCTATACATTTCCACGTGATAAGCCACTTGATTGGGCTATCATTTGTGGTCAGGACGCTTCTAAAAAAGAGCTCTATAGCTCAGTGGACCTTACGTGGTAAAATAAATAATAGTTTTCATAGTTTTAGTTTAGTTTTTTCGAATAGCATAACAAGGATGTGAGATTTCCACCACTGGCTCAGATCGACCAATGGAGATGAGTGTTACCCCCATTACTCATTTAAGGTGGGGAACACACGTCGTCTTGATATTCAGAAGGTGTAAAAAGTTGCAAAACGAATGTTGAAAATATTGAACAGAAAAGTGTAAAAAATAAAACCGTGTAAAAATACAATTGGAGGTGAGCATGTGGCTCAGGGGTCAGATGGCTGAGCATGTACGGCTGAGATGCTGAGCTCGTGTCTGGGCAGATGCCACCTGTGATTTAAAAGGGTGCATCAGTATCGTTTGTTCATTGACTCAGCCTGGTCACCAGGAACTGCACGCAAGAAATACATCGTTAGATTCGTGTTTTCTCACTTAATTTGGCCAAAAATTCCAGCTCTGAAAATTATTTATAATTCGTTCACATGCGACGAACACTCTCTACAGGGGCAAACAGATGAACAGGCTGGTGTTTGAAGTGGGCTTGAGGTGGAGTGGTTCTTCGATATCATCTTCCAAGGTCGTTCTCTTGACACAGACTGGTGCGCTGCTCACTCCAAGTGTCCCAAATAGAAATCTCTTAATTCTCATTACATAGCATCAATATCAAAATTGGTATCAAATTTAGTCGAAAAAATATCAAATTACAAAATATAATTCATGGCGTGAAGTTGGGTAATTCAGTTCAGTAATTTCATTAATTAAATTGAAAAGATAATTGAAACAAATTTCAAGGCAATTAAAAAGCCTGGATAATATAACTGAACCAGGATGCAAGCAATTGAAAAGATGCGAAGCAGAAAGGATGAATAATGATTAATAGCCTATCAAAAATGCCGCATTGAGACACTGATCTCTTAAGCCCGTTATTGTTACGTAAGACCACAGTGACATTGGACCCTACAGTTGCCTTTCACTTCGTCCCGTCAGCCTCCCCCTTCCCCCTGCTCATCCTTCTATCACCTCGCTACCCTGAAGTCCACTGTGTGCACGGAGGGGTCCCCATTTGGTGTGTAACATCACGTTGCTGCTGCCAGTGGGCTTTTTGCCTTGCCGCTACCTGCTTTGCCCCTGCTGCAGCTTTCCTGGGACAATAATGCACGTGTACTCTTTCCAGGAGGCTATTAAACGTGTTGCTGTATTAACACTCGCCTTGTGGCAGCCACGTCAGGTTTTGAAGGTTACACATCAGCCAGCACATTTGATGGAAGAGGGTTGCCAATGACTCCTTTTCATGATAAGGTTTTTTTTAACTAAAGGTTATTTAGGAAGTGGCTGCCTCAGCAGACAATTTAATATCGGCCCGAATTAATGTTCTGCCACGTTCTCCGCATATTATTTGTCATTTTGTGCGTGTTTATTTTGTTTCGCTAGCTTTAGCACACGCTGAATTAATGAGGCTTGCAGAGCTGAAACTGCACCAATGTATTCTACCGCACAGACAAATTTACAGCTTCAGATATACTGCAGGGACATCCTTTATAAGGTTGTATGAGAGTGCCTGGTTGTATTTCCTGTTCGAAGCCTCGCACGGTGGACTGCAGTGAGGTCACCTGGGTCACACATCTTAATGCGCAGGCGATGTAATGGAGATCTCTGCAAAGTCAGAGGCATTGAACATTTTAAAGCCTGACCTAAAATGTTAAGATGTTGCATTTGCAATGTCAGATGATTGATGCGTGCAATATGTTAAAATTACGTATACTGTATACGATAATATATACATTTACCAATGGTTACTGTTGAAGGCCTTTTGACCAAAGTATTACACTTGCAGTAAATGATCAGTGCTGCTGTTATTGTCACAACTTCACTTTCATCCGAAACCTTGCGATTCTGGCTCTCGGCGGCATCATGGCGATGAACACACTTTCTTCGTGTCCTCACAGAGAGAGCGGGGCACCCACCTCCTAGTGTCAGTGGCTCCCGGATATACCGTACGATGTGTTGCCTTGCACAGCCGTTGGGTCACCAACATGAATCGATCAACACAAGTACTCCATTTCATCACGTATGGTTGTCCGGATTTGAACCTAGGTTATCAATGGTGATCTGAGCCACCCGGTCATCAATCGATCATGAAAATCGTCACCTTTACCATCTCATCGTGTGTTGAGCCGTTTGTTTCATTTTCGTGATTTTCCTTAACATAAATGTTGGATCAACCTAACGATGGGGCTGGTGATACACGAGTTGTATTGGGAATATGCATGTGCGTGAGGTCGTCTCAGCCTAAAATGAGTACCTGGTGCAGTGTATAAACATCGCCACTCACGAGACAAAGACGGCCAGGCATGGTGCTGGCCACCCACCTCCTCGTGCGCCGTGCCAGCCTTCATAAGTGCTACTCGCTAACAGCACTTGCCCCAACAATTCGGTAAAGGTGACATGAGGGAATCTTTCTCTGTCTCCGTTGTATGTGCGTGTTGCACACAGGGGGGTGTGCACCCAGGCTCCCTGCTACTGCATCATCATGGAGTACTGTGCACAGGGCCAGCTGTACGAGGTGCTCCGCGCTGGGCGTAAGATCACCCCGGAGCTCCTCTACCGGTGGACCACGGGGATCGCGAGCGGCATGAACTACCTGCACCTGCACAAGATCATTCACCGGGACCTGAAGTCACCCAAGTGAGTGCTCTCAGCGAGACATCTCTGAGCTGCCCGGCACAGAGCCAGCAGCTCTTTTGTATGCAGGCTTGTAGCGAGGTAATGCCCGTCACGTAATTATCTCTTACGATGGGCCTCTCTCTCACCCACCATCCAGCTTCATGCCCCCCTCCCCCCCAAACCCCCTTGTGGTAAATTGGCAAGGCATGACAATAAAGTCAGCACAGTCTTAGCAAAGTTAAAATTATGTCAGTCGCTTAAACAGGCTATAATGTATCGGCTCTTATTAACCTCTTCAAAGCCTTTGGGCCATAAAACTTCTCAGGCAGGTCTCCAAAACAGCTGGGCCCCATAAAAATCCGTCACGCTTTTCTTCTTCTTCCTTTCAGTGGCAGGATGGCACTCTGCTTGAATTTCGCAACGGCAAATTACATTCTCAGACTCCACCGTTTGTCACATGTTGCCAATGTGAAATACGTCACGTTGGCAACACGTGACAATCGTGGGGGGTGGTTTTGGTGGTGTGCCTTGTGAGTCCCCGTGGTGCATACGTTGTCAGGAGCCATCAAAGTGGATCCACATTTAGAAACGTGCATTGGGATTATGAAAATTATTGTGGTGCTATAAATATCCAAATGATGGGCTACTTCAGTTGAACTATCATTTGCGATAGCCACGTCGCTTCTGGAAATATGTTTATACATTAGTGGGCGTTGCCTGGTACGATGGGGATGGTTTAGTTTAATGTGTATGTGTGATTTTTTTTCCCTCTCTTGTAGTTTGGACGACTATCGTGTTTGTATATTGTTTGTTATTGTAACATTCTTACCCCATCTGTGAAAAAGATAATTTATAGCTCATCGGATTCCTCCAGTACAAATAAACATTCTCGATTCTGGTATGTTTCACCAATTCCATTGGCCAGTGTCTGGGCGTGTAGAAGGAAACTGTAGCACCTGAGGCGGGTGGCACTCCACGCTTGCACCGATAGGATCCACCGCTGTCTCTACTGCCATCTCCAGGCCTCCCCACCACCACCTTTAATGTTCTAATAGCTGCCAATTGATTGTATTATTGAGCAGCCTATTGTTTGTGAAGGTGGCTGTATCACGCTAGCAGCCCAAGCTGTGATATAAGGATCCCCCGTGGCTATTTTGTACTGATGTACAATAAAACGTACTTCTTCTTTGGTTCTTTCGGTAAAGTCACGTGACTTTACCGAAAGAACCAAAAAATAATTCCTGCAGTCACGAAAGCTCCAAAGTTAAGATTAAAACGTACTTCATGGCTATGGAATAGAATAAAATAAAAAAGCCCATACTTTCATGTGTTTTAAGGATGCTGGTTTTATTGATGGTCAGGCTACTGTGCAAGCGTATATCTGTCAGGGTAATTGGTATTGTTATTTTCTTACATCATCCAGTGACTTTACAGATATCTGAAATTTGGCCCCATAGTGTGAAGATCAATTCAGAGTGTAACATTGTTGCATTTTTTTCCAAATTTTAATATGTTTCCCCCCCCCCCCTGTTCGCTGTAAGCTAGAATAACAGGATGATTATATTTGGTGGGGGAGGGGTTGTTTTTTGGGTCTTGAGTAAAATTATATTGGTAGCTGAAGGCCAAACTCATTTGTCCGCGGCCAACTCACGCATTTCACTGCGATGTGCTGCATCCTCACATTCAGCGTAACATATGGTCAGCATGGTCCACCGTATAACAAGTCACAACGATGTAAAAAATGTATTCTAGGACACAGGTAACGTGCTCTTGCAGCAGCTCTGCACACGAGTCATGGATTGCCTACAGTTTAATCTCCGGCGGTGAATGTGAAAGTTTGAAGTTTCTGCATTGATTGCAGCACCACTTTAGGCTAGTTTAAACATGAAAATCTATATAATGTTGGATTGGTTCTCGGATTTTGACTGTTTACTGTTAGCAGGATGCATTTCCATCTATAAATTTAAATTTGTCCTTGCCAGGCAGGATGGTGCAGGAAATCAAGCTATATATACTGTATATATGCGTACACTATATTTATACTTACTTGTGTGGGTGAAATAATTTATGTTCATGTACATGCAAACAATTTCCAGAGAAAACTTGAACGATTTCCACTTTATTGCCGAAGTTTATGATTATGAAATATGCTGTTTCCAAAGTGCACAGGGAGCGATTTGCAAGCAACAAATCATAGGAACACATTGAGCACAAATGTTATGAGACTGGAGCGTTGACTGATAGCCTCTGACTTGGTGCTATTCCCTGTAAGCTGCTCTGCTCTTCAACGGCGCAGGACTCACAAGCACCACTGCAGGGCATGTGGCCATAGCTTGTGTCTGCTCTGAAGTGGACAGTGTAAGAACTATGTGTGATTTTTCCAATGATTGTGTCGGGGTGGTGCACTGGTAACACTCGTGCCTCGCAACTAGAAGGCCCTGGGTTATATTCCCGATTTGGGGCACCTCTCTGTGTAGAGAAAATGGGGCCTTTTTTGCCAGCATCAAAATATGAAAGAATAAGAATAGGTTTTACCCTTTCTGTCAATAAAACAGGTGTTCAAATACGATGCATATATTATCAGAGCATGTTTGTTTGCATGTTCACCACAAGTATGCCTGGTGAATGCGAACTTGATTCCTTGCAAAACTTTATATTCGGTGTTTGAACATCTTAACACCTGTTTAATTGCCAGAAAGGGTAAAACATCTTATTATCTCTGTATTGAGTTTGTATGTTCTCATCCCCTGCCTTGCATCGGTTTCCTCTGGATTCCCTGGTCTCCAGAGCTCAAAAACTATAACATTTCATATAACTGATATTTACCAAAATGCTGAATATTTGCCCGCAAATTACTCAATTGGGATTAAACTCCGCTCCAAAAACTTGGCAGGACACTTGTAAAAAAGCGTATTAAGGCTGAGTGAGGCTTTCCTGGCTAAATTTCCTGACACTCTTCCTTGCCCTATGCTAATCTGAGCATTCTGCGGTCGAGGTTAGCTTTTCGCCAAAGCTACCCGTCATCTACTTTAATGAATAATACTGCTATGCTAATGCCATTTTCAGAACAGAACACGGCACAAATTCACACTCACAGTTTGGATCGTTCATTTTGAGAGAGGCCTCTAAATACGCAATGATAATTTCCCGACAAAACGAGTCGGCGTTCCTCTGTATCGAGCATCCACGTTGCTGCCTGAGCTGATTCTTCCACGGTGTGCTCAGGACCTGTGAAGACGCCGTTTACAAATTCCAGCCACAAAATTAGCTGCAGGCAAAAAAAACTCCACAGTTTGGCACGAAGCAAATGGCATTCAGATTGTTAAGCAATGTCTGAGTTTTACGTGGCGGTCGTTTTAGTGTACGCGCATCGATTAGATAATTGCAAAGCTTTGGCGATTGATGCTTTGCTGATGAGCAGAAGGACATTGCCCAGGGACATGGGGCCACCCCTAGAGTCGACGAGCGGCTCTTATTGCCGTCTGCCCAGTCATGAATCTTCACTCTCCTGATGGAGCTGCAGCCGTTGTGGAGGTGGGGAGGGATCGGGCGGACGTGGGCTCGATGGCCGTGCGGGGCAGATGCTGTCGTGCCCAGCCAACGCCACAAGCCCAGCTGGGTGGAGTTGCGCTGTCATCGTACACGCGTTGAAGGTTGTTTGTTTGTTGTTGTGGACAAAAGCAACGGCACCGCTGCCTGAGTACATTCTGTGGGCGGTGAAGAATTTGGGATATTGAATGAGACGGAATGGGTTATTGTGACCTAATCTTCCACGCTCGCATTTTTTCTCCACCTATTCAGATTGTGCACATAGATGTGATCCAGAGCCAGGGGTAATGGACTGACTCAAGTTTAAACATGAATTATCGTAAATTTGTATTACACGTCTGGTCCAAGGTCTTCATAAAATCTTTCCGCGCTATAAGACGCAGAGCAAGTCTGCACAAAGAAGTTTTTGTAAGCTGCATTTGTATGCTTAGGAGCTGACTTTTCCTCGCGTAGGCAGAGGTTTCTACTGTACTTTGTAATAGGGGTTATTTTTTGACACATTAGGAGACTTGTGATTGCTGCTGTTGGCCACCCAATGACATTTCCTCTCGTCACCGTGCAACATGAGCTCTGATTGGGCCTACGTAGTTAGCTGGTCTTGGCGCAGGCTGCTGTTTGCTGCGGTCTCCTGTGATGCACAGCTATACCCACAGAACACACATCGAGATGCATTCGCATCCTCGTGTTCTGCAGCTTTAAAAGCCAATGCGGCAGCGTGGCATCGTGGTAATATTCATGCCACGCGGCAAGAAGGGCCTGGGTTCCGTACCCGGCTCTGGTGCCTTTCTGTGTGGATTTTGTATGTTCTCTCCACCTCTTTCTGCATGTATAAGTGGTATTGGTCAAACACCCCAATGCTGAAAAATTACCGGCATATTACTCAATTTGGATTCCACACAGCAGCAGCAACATCGCTCCGCTACTGCAAATACTTAGCAGGACCTTGAGACTCAGTGACGCTCTCTTGGGTCAGCAAGGGTAGTAATAATAATAATAAATAACCTTCTTTGTGAATCCATAATTGTGCCAGTGCTGGCTCAATCCCCTGCCGTAGAATATTAGGCCTTTGTGCCACCATACACTCTGGTAATATTTACCTTGTTGTGTATGATTCCTGGCGTTGTTACCTGGATGTTTCTGTTATGAAGTAGAATAGTAAAATGTTGTCTATGTACATATAGATATTGTTTCAAACTTCGGATCAAAAGCTTTGGTAACAAAAGGTCACTTTTCAAGAAGTCATACATATAACATTTTTACGATTCTTTTAGGAATGTCATATGGCTCTTAGTCAGTATCAACCAATGATATTTCAGGATATATTTATATAAAATAAAATTAGGCTTATGACAAAAAAGCACACGTTCTTGCACGATGTAAATTATGAAGCCTTGCATGCTGTTATAAATACTGATGTAGAGTTTGAGTTGTATATTTGAGTTTCAGTACAAAGCACAATTAAGATGGACAATGCCAATGATATACTGGCACATTAATTAAAAACACAAATTATGACTTGTTTCACATTGAATAGAATGGCACCACAAAGCCTCTTTGCTGCGCTTATACCATGGCCTGAAAGCTGAAATAAGTCTCACGGAACACAGAGACTCGGTGTTTTAATGGCCCGTGAAGTCAGGGGAATTGTTTTGTGAATCGTAGTGGAGCACAGCGTCTCGTGTTATTCTTTGTGGTCGAAAAAAGCATTTGACATTTCAGTCATGAGGGAACTGTCAAAAACCTGCCGTTTAAGTTGAACTCGTTAGCAACAGGGTGGCCAGATAGCCTCGTGGTTAGCATGCAAGCCAACGCGGTAGATTGCTTACGACCGGAAGTTTGATTTACGTGGGCAAGCACAATATTTAAAGAGACTTTCCAAATTAAGAACGCCTCTGCTGTAAATGGATTTATAAAAAAATATAATACCGTGGGACATCATTTCCAAAAGCAGGCATTTTGTGTCACACTAAATCTGAACATTATGGTACAACCAAATTGTGGGGTGGAGGGGGGGGCAATGTTGAAATGTAGTACAATTTATGCGGTACTCCCTTTGCGATGGAGATAAATGACATTACTCTGGACTCTTACAAAAGAGCATTGATTGGATGATTGGTTGATTTATCCATCGATTCAGGATTACACGTGCGGTTAGAGTAAAAAAAAACTACCACCTGTGCTAACGACGCGCGTACAACCGGGTGTCGTGACTCTTGACCGTGTGCGCCTGGCAGCGTGCTCATCACACACGACGACCTGGTGAAGATCTCGGACTTTGGGACGTCCAAAGAGCTGATGGACAAAAGCACCAAGATGTCGTTTGCGGGAACTGTGGCCTGGATGGCTCCGGAGGTCATCCGCAATGAGCCGGTCTCTGAAAAGGTGGACATCTGGTGAGTTACTCCACCCACAGTGGGCCCCATGGATTTTGAATGCACACTTTGATGTTCACGGGAACTGATGTCGGATAATGACAATGTTTTAACAAAATGTATTGATTTTTCCTTGTAACAGATGACTGTTGATGGATTGCTATTATTGCTTGTAGGTAATCTTGAGATTACATTTGACACGTTTTAAATTTTACAGGTTTAAAAGATTGCACGCATTAATTAGTCTACATTATAACACAATGGCCATTTCAAGCACAAAGTCACTCGCTGATGGCCATGAGCTATTGTGATTGCCGTATGCGTAAAAGCAAGGAAGAATTTCCATTACTATATGGATACATTAAAATCTACGTGAACAATCCATAGAGAAATCATTAAAAACACCACTCGCAAGGAGGTGATGGATGTGTAATTAGTCAAAGCCTGGACACAAAACGCCAGCACGTCACCTCTGTTGACACGTGTGTTCATCTCTCACTCATGAACAAACACAAATGAAATGCACGACTCAATTGTTTATTCCAGAATAATTCCAGGATACGTTTCTCCAGTCAATACAGTTGCTGTCTTAACAAGAAATGTGACATTTGCCAAGATATTGGCAATGCAATGTTTCAGTTACCTGGAATGGGCACGTTTGTGTGCTACATTCATCATCTTTACAGTCACTGTCAATTTTAATGTCTCATATTGAGTGAAGCGTTATTATTATTCAGGAATGTAAATACGATGATCATTCTGGCAGTTAGTTTGGCCTTTTATTTAAGATGTGAATGTAATGCTATGTTAAAGATTTCTTTGAATTCTAGCATATATTTCGAAATTTTGATACAAAAATAGGTATTTATTTCCAAAATTTTGTTTCAATTTGAATTTCTGTGCCTTTTCCCCCTGTTTTATTCATGCCTTTTTCAAGTTATCCGAAAAATAGATTTGTTTCCTCAGTGGGCTAAGATGTGTACTGGGTAACATCTGTACCATCGCAAAACGCCCATGACATACAGCTCTAACAGCTCATTGGGCCCTTCCTGCTGAGATAAATAACAGTGAAATCACCCGGTTAAATAAAGGTGGAGATCTAGAGATGGCTAAATGAAGAACAACAACACCAATTATTATATTTTCAATGTTGTATTGTTCGTGTCATGTACAGCCATTGCACTTTTAACAACGGACAGCACTTTTAAAGCGTATGATGTTGTATAGAGCAGAGTTAGATTCACTTTGCATCATGGTATTTTTTTTGCAGCTGCTGTACTCACCAAAAGATACCGTCTTGCAGTGAAGCAAACATTTAAAGGCCATGTAACATACGTCGCAAAAGCAGATAATAACGACTTTGCAATTAAAGATGGTCTTGTGGCTCATGTCCTGACCGAGACACTAAGCCGCAAGTTCTAAGATCGTGGGATTGTGCCATGGGTTACCACTCGACACGAAGTGTTTCTGATGGGCAGAGAGCTTGATGTCCTCTGCCCACTCATCAGTGATTGAACAAAAAAGCCCCCGAAATCACATTGGTGTTTGCACTCGGGTGTACTCACTCATCCATGAGAACATGAGACACAGCATGTCCGAGCTCCTCCATCAGATTGCGACTCGCTGCTTTGTGACTTGTGTTCGCCCGCCCTCTTTGCCTGATTCCGCAGTCACTTCTCCGATGTAAGAGAGCAACGTGTGGGAGCACAATAGATACATCATTGGAACACAGCCTACAACATATCCTGTGATTGTGTCGCCGGCACTTTGTCCCCCATTTTGGGAAATCTGTACCAAGAGCATCTCTCTCCTTCATTTTGGCCGTTAGTTCTGTCACACGTCAAATATCATGAATGAAATAATTAGGTCAATCTCCCTTTTGATTTTATTCACTGTGGCGTGCTGTAAACTGAATGTCCTCTATTGTATTTCTAATTCATATGAATGTCAATACCAAGGTAGTTTTAACTTATAAGTTAAACTGTTTTGTAAATGTGGTCTTAAAAAAGAGATGTATTCCCTTTAACCATTAGAAGTACAGCACGTAGGTTAGGTTCCTGAAAAAGGCCATGGTAAGGCAAATACGGGGTTGGTAAAGTCCAGGGGCCTAAGGGAAACAGGGGTTAGGGGAACCATGGCCATGGTCACACTCAGCATAGCTTAACTCACTTACCTGTTTATTAACTAAACACCGAATAAAATAAAGTGCATTACACAATAGCATAATAAAATGTACATAAACATTATATGAACTTTACATAGGATAATAGGTTTCCCCCTTTTTTCTGGCAAAAAAAAGGGGAAACCCTATTCTCATATTTTGTTACTGGCAAAGGAGGTCCCATGGTGTAACTTTACATAGCTTTAATGTTAAGGGTAGAAGTCCATGATTATTACGATGACGATGACAATGAGATGATGGTGAAAGGGGTGGTTAGAAGGAGGGAGGGCCTTAGCCCACAACAAACGGAATTCAAATGTGCGGTTGCGATGCGACGCGGTCTATGCCCTGCAAGAATCACAACAAAGTGGACGGACAGCTGATAAGCTGCGACGCAGCGCCACGATGGCGCTGTGGAGAACTGCGGCCCGGTGAAAATGTGTAACTGCGTGGTTGCAGACCGTTGCTTACCCGTGTATAGTGATACCTCGGTTCACGAACTTAATTCGTGAACTGACTCTGGTCGCGAACCGAATTGGTCGTGAACCGAGGCACATTTTCCCATAGGGTTCAATATAAATCCGGTTAATCCGTTCTGACCTTTTTTTTGGTTTTTGAAGCACAAAAATATGAAACAAATTACAATACACATTAGTACTGTACAGTATAGTAATGTATAAAGAGAGAACACTAACCTTGCTTGAGATTACTTCAGTAAGCACTCAAACGGGTGAACTGTACAATGCAGTAAGTACAGTATTGTACAGTACAGTACAGTAGTACAGTACAGTACTGTATGTGCTAAAAAGCACACAAAAAAGCAAAAAGTCACTGAAAGTGTCTTCACAGTACTCACAGTACTTCTTTCTGTGTCTCTTCTTCTCTCCACGATCTTCCTACAGGAAGTCACGACCATGTGACAGCCTGGAAATAGCATTAAAATGGCCGCGGCTCCTGTTCGTGAACCGAAGCGGAGTTCGTGAACCGGAGCATATTTTTATGATCTTTTCTGTTCGTGAACCGAGTTGTTCGTGAATAGAAGCGTTCGTGAACCGAGGTATCACTGTATATTCAAAATTTCCAGCACCGCGGTTCGGTACATTGGTACACAGATAATAAACCGTGTGTAATATGAATTCCACGGTTGCCAAGTCAGCGGTTGGCGATAGATTGCTGCATCGATATATGATGTTTAATTGTCAAGCCAGAAAGTCTACAAGGTATGTGCGATTTTTGTGTGGTCATTGTGATCTATCTTTGGTAATGTGTGAGGCTGTAAAAGCCTTGCAGAGACCAGGTACTGCAGAAGGAGGCCTTGAAATAATGTGTGCATTTGCCTGTGGCATACGCGACTTCTAGCTCTGGCAGAAGAGAATACAAACATGGATTTGACTGTCGGGATGGGTTTCACTGGATCTCACATTACACACTTAGATGTGATATTTTTTTCAACAGAGCAGTGTCTGTGGTGGAAATGTCAGTTTCTTGATAATATCATGGATGTGAGAACATAGGCAAGATTAAAAATCCATTCTACGTTAACCATAGCAATTTTTATACCAAGCTTGTGCGCAGATGGATTCATAGATATTAAAATAGCTATTTTATCGAAAAAATAAGAAATGCATTATGCATACATGGGTCTCACGTTTGCGCCCAGTAACCAGTAAGTGGCTTTGTGACGGAGCCCCCGTTAACTGGATGGGATGATAATTAAGCTTTTGTAGCTATTTGTCCCAAATCCACTTTTAAGCCATCTGCTCGAGGAGGGGCCAGACTAATGCAAATTCAGCCTCAGCAGGGTAAATCCCAGCAGCTGTGACCCAGGATTGTCACCCAGGGACTGCAGCTGAAATATCGCTGCCTGCCTGCGTTTGGGGCGCCACGGTGGCGAGATGTTAACTACCTCGCTTGGTATGCAGGAGGCTGTGTATTCGATCTTCGACACCTAGTGTCTGTATACTTAGAGTTTGCATATTCTCCCCGTGGATGCGTGGATGTTTCTCCGGGTCCTTCAGTTCCCCCCCCCCCCCCCCCCACATTTAGAATCAACATGTGTTTGGAGTATTTGGCTGCTATACATTTTCACGTGATAAGCCATTTGTGGCCAGGTCGCTTCTGAACAAGAGTGGGCCTAAATTGGTATATGTTGGACTTAATTTGGATATGGGCATTGGTGAGGTAGCTTACCAGCAGTTGTATTTACGGCTCAAAAACTATCGCTGGCGTACAGAGTGTTTGGTTTCTGGTGATGCGGCCATCACAAGTGAGTACAGTATTCCGTCGTTGTGCCAGTACGCGATTTTGGCTCTCCGCTAATCGCATCTGGAACTCGCGACTGGATCAAGAGAGCGAGAGACAGAGAGAGACAGAAAGTGATTAGATAAAGTGCTGAGAGAGAATGTGATGCGACAAAGTAATGAGATTAAGTTAATTTATAAATTATTATTTAATACGTTTATAATATTTTGTATTTACTTTGTTTAAAAAAAATAGTTATGATAATTTGCATACATTTAATAGCTTATTTATTTGAGGTAATTCATTAAAAGGTACGATCTCATCGGCCAATATCATTAACTGCAGAATTTGCTATTCACGACCATCTCCGGAACGTATCCCTCGTGAATAACGAGGAAATACTGTACGGTTCTTTCTGGGGGCAAAGGCTCACCATTGAGCATGCAGCCCTTCCCAGCAGTGGTGTCAGCACGCTATAAATACGGTCACGTGATGCAACAGTCCAACTCGCTCCTGCACTGGAGTTCGTCTCATCGGTCATCCTCGCAGCAGCTTTTGTCTTGCCATCGAAACGAAGACGGTCACTGCATCGTGCGCTTTCAGATGCGCTTCTCCGGCG